TTACATTGCATCAGCAATTTTAAATTAAGTTGTAGTAAATCAAAAAACTTGAATCATTATAGTCACACTTTGTAACAATTACTTTCACCCAAAATCCAAATTAAACGAATAAAAACAAAATTATAATAACACTGTCATGTCAAGACCGCTTTTAAATAACTTGCACCCGCTGTTGCACATATACGCACACACCACCGTACATTGCCACTCCAGTGCACAAAAACAACCAAGGAATAGTACACTTACAATCGTTTTCTTAACAACAAAACATAAAGAAAAAATCATGCACACACATATTATTAATGTTCTTTTTTTTTTTTTTTTATAAAAAATAGCAATGCCCCCATCCCTAAGGTTTGCACACGCCGAAGTACATATTCGCACACACCACCGTAATTTCAACTCCCGTGTCCAAATAAAAAAAAAAACATGTAGTACTCTTACAATCTTCTTCTTTAAAAACAAACCATATATATGAATTCACGCACACACATATAAGCTATTTTCTTCAAATTACACAAAAAAATAAAATAAAATAACACATTCATAAGATTTGCACACGCCATGCTACACATACCACACATTGCCGTACATAATCAACTATAAACTCATTTACATACTTTAGGCACCGTTGGTTTTTTTTTTTCTCAGCTCTCAATACAAATTATTACTAGTTGTTACCTTTAATATTCCACCTAATATTATGCTAAAGGTTTATAATAAAATAATTTAATAAAGGTTTATATATAAGCAAATAATATGTAATATTTACCTTAAGCATAATTTATCAATTTAATCATTTTTTATTTGATAAAGATTATTTTTTAACCAAACAATTGGTAATATTTACGATTTATTGAACCAATCTTCATATTTCTGGTCAAATGACTACACAAGATGGAATACATGTTCATTGCACGGAATCTTAATATTAATTGAGTTGCCAAATTGTATATTGCATAAGAATTATTCTTACCAAAATATGAATTGTAACCAACTTAATAAATCTAAATATTAACAAGTATGTATGGTAATATTATTTCATATGGACGTAATACCATAATAGGATTTATAACTAATTTAAGAAATCTATATTGATAACTAATTGATAAGTGCTAAAATGTTAATGTTTTCACCTTGCATTTAAGCTTATTTACCCTGTTATTCGTTACTCTGTATAATTTTACCCAAAGTGTCCCTCATTTGATTCATTTGTGTGTTTATGTGTAATTCTTGATGATTTAGATGAATTGAGTGATTTTTGGGCCATTTCGGATGCATGTAGAGCCAATGGGAGCCAATGAGAAGCTATGAAGATGGGAGAAACACCTTTTAGAGAGCCAAATTATGGTGTGTTTAGTGGTCTTGTTCATTTGGACAAACAAAGGCAAAAGTGGAGCAAAAGAGCAAGAAGTTGAAATTCTCGGACAAATCGTCCACCACTCGGTATTTTGGTCATATATCTGCATAGGAATGTTCAAATCAAGTAATTTTTATGTAATTAGAATGCTAACTTGAAGAGCTACAACATTGATAAAGACCACAAAGGCTAATTCAAAATTTTCGAGGGTGAAATATTACCTAGAAGACGAACATAGTGCACAGAAGGGCAACCAGGCAGTACACTGCCTGGTGGCCACGCCCATGGCCACTTCGCAGTATACACTGCATTTCTGGCCAAGGGTGAAGCCACACCCGTGGCCAGCCTTTGCAACTCATACCAGCCTCGTTTTTACCCTTTTAAAATCGGATTTTTACACCCAAAAATACATCTTTCATTTCCCTTTCATTCTCTAGTTAGGTTTAGCTCTAGAATAGCTTAGATTAGTGTAGATTACTTGTTCCTTTCCATTTCCAAGCTCAAGAACAGTGAAAATCTTGGATTTCAAAGCTTCAATAGAGAAGTTTTTCTTATTATATCTTCTCTTTACTTTTAATCTATGCTTTCAATTACTCTTTTCATATTGTGTATCTATTCTTATATTATGAGTAGCTAAGTGCTTTGGGGCTAGGATTTGGTTTGATTTCTTGCTATTGATGCCTACTTGAGTTGTATTGCATAAAGGGGATTATTTGGGTGTTATAGGGTTAGTTGTGTGAATTGTCTGTTATGAAATTGTGTATAATTGTTGGATCCCAATTATATGCTTGATTTGGAGTGTGTTTGTTGCTACGAGAGTAGAGCTTGTACACTAGTCACACATTCACACACTTAATGCCCAATACGAGAGTATTTCGGGCATTAAGGAGATTTTATGCCTTGTGTTCTTTCTTGGTCAACCTTGGGTTGAATAGCTACGAGAGTGGAGTTTAAGGACAGGTTGCAAGTCCAAATAGCTACGAGAGTGGTATTTGGACACTTTTGTGCATCTCACTTACCCTATGTCTTGTTGAATTCCCTAATCTTTAGTACAATATTTGGCATCTTAACTTGAATCAACCAAGTCCCGGTCCTTTGTTTTACTTGTCTTATTTGTTATTAGCTTAATATTATCAAGCCAACTCCTTATCGATAGGTTTAGCTTCTAAAAGAATAGTTCTAGCTTGTGTTTAGCTTCACTTTGCATCAATTCCTAACACTACAAGAGACATTTCCAGTGGAATGATATCTAAACTCTATACTATGATTTGATACTTGATGGATGCGTGAAAATCGTCCTTATCACTAATTAATATATATATATATATATATATATATATATATATATATATATATATATGTATATGCATGCTTGACCTCATGGTCAAAATAAATTATAAAACAATATATATAACAGAGCACGGAATAATTAATTATGGTAATACCTCACAATCAAAATATTGCATAATGTAGCAGACTATAGAATAATTAATTATGGAAATATTATTATGGTAATATTACACAGAATTTTTTGAACCAATTCATAAATGAGTCAATTGAATAAAAAATATTTTAAATATGGTAATATTATTTCATCATGGTAATATTATATATTGTAGATCAGTTACTCACACAATGAATGGTAAATATAATTTTCTATCAAAAGGCTATCTAACTATTTTTCTGGGTCATTTTTAAATTTCCTCACTTCATATAAATAATTACAGTGGCAGGTATTGAACCATTATATGGTGGATTTATGATTTCCTCTCCAAGAACATTTATTAATATGCCGACCAATTGTATTTAAACTAACGTGCACATTATTTGTAATAACCTTTACATTTTAGGGTATATACACATTTTGTTTTATTTTTTCTTACAAATTATTAATTTCTTAAAATTAACATGTTCATATTAATTATCTTGCATCTATTTGTTTTTATTAATCGCAAAATTATTACAATTCAGAGACACATACATAGTTCTGTCTTACTAAAAGCTATTCTATGAGAATTATTTAAACACTTATATTTTTGCAATTCTTTATTGCAATAGTTAATATTCACCAAAGTTTGTTCGAAGATAATCATGTGGCCACTAGTGAAACACCATTGAGTGCAATCACAAATGGTATATGTTATATTAAAAAATATCATGTTATTCTTCAATATTAAATTAATTTTATAATATCATTTTATTTAATTAGTCATTGTTTGATTTTTACGTGTTAACTCTATTTTGTGTTTATTTGTTTCTGTTATTGTTTTTTTAAAATATTGCAGTTGCTAGCAACCCAAATTTATACGCATTGAACACTGATATTCGATCAGGCACACCATTCACTGTCACAACAGATGGTATCATTTTTCTATATTAATTAATTGCCTATTTCTTCATATGTTGTATATGCTACAATTTAGGTTATATATATTTTAATTAAAACACAATATATATACTTTTAATCTGAAGTTAAATATGTTTTGATAAAAAAATTGCAATTCATATGCGCAACATGTGTCCACCCTCCACTCAACGTTCTTTTAATATGTCAAATATGTCAACTTCAACATCTTCATCACGCCAACTATTAGCTGATGTATCAAATGGTAATTTAGATTACACGCTTCACGATTTTTATAATCTTGGTTATTCCTATTGTGTTTTCCCAACTTTTTAACATTATTTAAACAACAATTAACAATTAATTATGTTTTTTAAAGTGCAAAGAGCGGCACATCCTCATTCTAATCGTGCTTTGTGGTCAGTTGTGAGAACTTCTAGTACAACATCGTCAAGAACAATTGCAAGGAATTTAAATACAGATTTCGAACAATTCCCATATGAAAATAATGGATATCGTGATTTTTTATGAACTCACAAATCTTAGTTATGTTCATTTTCATCAAACAACCAATAATATGTGTTAATTATAAACTATTTATGTAATTAGATTCCTATTTAGAGCTTGGAGATGATGTTCATTCCTGTAATTATTGTGGTGCCTTATTCTGGCGACACGAGCTCTCAAATCAAAATGTTACGCGAGAATTGCCGAAATACACAAAGTGTTGCTTCGAGGGCAAGATGCAATTACCTCGCATAAATAATCCTCCTCCCGTTCTTCAGAGCCTATACTTTGACGATAATGCACAGAGCAGACACTTCCTCAACAATATTCGAAGGTATAACAACATGTTCTGTTTCACGTCTCTGGGAGGTAGAGTCGATAGGTCAATCAACACCAGCAACGCTCCTCCGGTTTTTAGGATAAGTGGTCAAAATTATCATTGGATTAGAAGCTTGGCTCCAGGAGAAGGTTGTATGGCAAAGTTTGCACATCTATATATTTGCGACACAGATAATGAGATTAACAATCGCATCAACTCTATTACGTAAGTATCCAAATACGTTATACCTTTTGTCTCGCTTTCACCAACAATGGCAACTATTATTTACTTACTCGCGTTTGTTTCATATGCAGAAGAGACATTAACTTAGGGGATATCCACAAAAATATTGTTGAGGAATTAAAGAACATGCTGGACCGAAATAATGTTTTGGTCAAATGTTTCAGAATGGAAAGAACTAAAATCTAGTCTAATCTAGTTTTTGAGGTTAAAATGAATTTAATAGGCAGGTGGAACAAAGACTGGAGGCTATACAATTTGCCTAACGCTAATGAGGTGGCTGCACTTATTGTCTTGGACCTAGATCCATCAATGGGTGATCTAGACATATTGGTCGAGAGCAGGATTGGACAGTTGAAGAGAATAAACCATTTGAACAGTTGAAGAGAATAAACCATTTGAACCTTGCACATTTACCACTACAGTACCCTTTGTTGTTCCCATATGGCGAAGATGGTTATCCTGAAGATATTACATTTTCTGATGCATGGCGCCAAGGACATCATGGTGGTAGGACAAGAATTACCCCTAAAGAGTATTTCTCGTTCTATATACATGAGAAGGTAAATGAGAAGCATACATTGTTGTATTCTAGGAGATTATTTCAACAATACTTGGTTGATGCATATACAATGATCGAATATGCACGCATGATCTACATTAGAACTCATCAGAATATGTTGCGGTGTGAAGCTTATCAGGGGTTGAGCAATGCATTAACAAGGGGCAAATTAGATCCCACAGCTCGGGGCAAAAGAATTATACTACCATCATCATTCACAGGTGGAGCTAGGTATATGATTCAAAACTATCAAGATGCAATGGCAATATGCAGTCACATCAGTTATGCACATCTGTTCATAACATTCACATGCAACCCAAAGCGGTATGAGATCGAGCGGTATGTTGCACAGCGTGGCCTTAAAGCAGAGGATAGACCCGATATTGTTTGTCGCGTGTTTAAAATGAAACTTGATGCTATGATTGAAGAGATCAAAACAAAAAAAGCTGTTTGGCGACATATGTAGAGATATTTGATTAGATAAATACCACCTATGGTCTCTCGAGTTTGATGGCATCACCAATAATGGTCCCTAACTTCCGTAATTACCATTCGTCATCCTTCGAGTTGCGAAAAGTTACCTTTTACCATCCTTCCGTTACTTCTTCCTGTCTCAGCCGTCAAGTATGAGGTTACTATAGTCATTTGGCCTTTATATGTGAGGTTAGTATAGTCATTTGGCTTTTTATTTCGTTTTAAATACAAAATCAAAGGCTCCGACAACCAATCATGAACCTTCCAGCAAACGACGACAACCGGAAGGGGAATCCGGCCACCAATTCTCACCGGATCACGAACTTCGCTGCCGGGAACACTTTATCTCCTGTGATGATTATTCCTCACCCGCTCCACGCCTCCGAATCTCCCTCCCGTTCTGTCGGCCTCCCGATCCCAAATACGACGTTGCGGCGGATTTCGAAGGACTATGAGGAAGACAAGGAGTAGCCGGCTGTTGGGAGCTACAACGCCTCTGATACTGCGCGTGGAATCTTGCCGAGGTCTAGCAGAATCGGCCTCGTCGACGGTGAGTTCTCGATGGACTCGGCTAACTGGATTCGCCCCAACGGTTCACAGAAGTCAGTTTTGATTTTTCACGATGGTGGCTCTGAACATACCGCGACCGCTGATAAATTGGTCAACGCGAACAAGTCCCGTGGAGCGCTTGGTAAATTGTTTTCTTGGTCTAGGTTAATTGCGAACTTCTCAGTTACTTTGAAAATTGCCAGATAATTCTTTAAAGTTTTTTTTTTTTTTTGAAAAGCTCTTACTTTAAATTCTTGAATTTTTAAATTTGTTAATGGCTAACTTGTATTAAAGTTGAAAATGTTATAATTTAAATTCGAGTACTGATCTTCGAACTCAGTTTGTCTAATGCGGGATAAGCTTCGAGCTCTAGTGTTCTCGCCTCGTTATCCAAGCAACTGCAAGCGGTTTCCAGGCCGACGAATTCAAACGGGACTACGGGAAAAGCTTCTTCGCTTTGTCTCTGTTTTCTACTCCCTGCGTGCCGCCGCCGGCTACCGGGAAGGTCTCTGAGATGTTTGGACGGAAAACTGGATGCGAATGTGAATCTTCCACAGCGTACAAATCTCTCCATTCCGCGTTGAAGTCACTGGCGGCGGCTCCGGTACCCTGGTGGTGGCGATGTATTCTCCGCTGAAGCTCTTTGGCGAAAGGTGTGACGGAGGGATCTTTGGGCGTTGAGGAGAATGACCAATTAGATGGCAGCTTTTTACCAAAAATAAATAAATTAGATGGCAGATAGTTGGCCTTTAGATGGCACAACAATAAAACTAAGGAAAATGACATTAATACCCTCGCATTTGACGGCTAAAATAGGAGAAAATAACGGATGGATGGTAGCAGATCCTTTTCACAACTCCGAGGATGATAGATGGTAATTACGGAAGTTAGGGACCATTGGTTGTGATACCACCAAACTTGAGGGACCATATGTGGTATTTACTCTATTTGATTATCATACATACTTTAATGTGCCATAATTACATCTAAATTCCATGTATAAAATTAAATTGTTTTTTTTTTTGAAAAAAAAAAATTCTGCTCAGTTATCTACACAATTGAATTTCAAAAAAGAAAACCCCCTTACGCGCACATATTGTTATTTGCCAAAAGAATAGATCGGGCAAATTCTGCAGCCGAAATTGATTCCCTGATTTCTACTGAAATTCCAAACCTAGATGCTGACACATAGTATAATGACGCAGTTAGCGAATTCATGCTGCACGGACCATGCAGACAACTCTGAAAGAATTCATCGTGCATGGTAAATGGTAAATGTTCAAAGTATTTTCCAAAAAAATATGTTAGTCAGACGATTTTGGATAAAAATGGTTACCCTATCTACAGAAGGCATGACAATGGACGCACAATCAATAGGGAATGGAATCGAACTTGATAACCGTTACGTTGTCCCACATAATAAACATCTGCTTCTAAAATACCACGCACATATTAACGTTGAATGGTGCAACCAATTGAGATTGATTAAATATTTATTCAAATACGTGAATAAAGGAAATAATGATCGAGTCACGACGGAGTTCATCAGTAATTCTACGAATACACTCAATGGTGATGTGGTCGATGAGTTTGTTGGGTAATATGGTTGAAAATTCCCAAAAATAATAATAATCCTACGGAAAGATTAATATTATATGGGAAAACAGAAAATTGGGAAGGAAAAGGTTGAGTGTTTGGGTAAAGGTTTAGCACGAGTTCGAACACGAAGTTCTTTTCCTTAAAACCTTATTTGCTACCTCCCACAAGTGCAAGGAGCGTTGTAGCCTAGGTTTCCCAGGATAAAACGTGCTACGATTCCTTGTTTAAGCACCTAAAAAAGGAACCCGGCAAACAAAGCAAAGCTGGAACACTGGTTGGCTAAAAGAAGAGAGTAGATGCAGAGTTTTGAGATGAAAAGCTACTGGAATTCCTTTTGTTTCTCACTGTGTAAAATGCTACTGCTTCTACCTCTCTTTATATAGGGATGTTGGAATGATAGCATTCAACATGGCCATTAAATTGGTGTTAAAACCAATTGTGTAACACCTGTAACGGTCACCACTAAGTAGGATTAAACTCAGAATTAAAACAGTATTAATTCCGTAATAATTCGGGTTTCAGACCGTTGGGTTGCTGGTTCACACGAGAGCACATGGACCAGTCAACACGAGAGTGCACTACTCTCGTGGTCACAGATGCACGAGGGTTGTGCCAGCCCATTTCCGGACGACATTCGTGCCCGCAGGTGCCGGCGCACGCGAGCTCGAGCTTGATTTCAAGCCTTTTTGATGTCCTCTAGTTGGATTTTGATTTGCACCCCCCCCCCCTCGCGTGAGAGAGCCTCTATGCTATACAATTCTACAAGCTTGAAAAGAGCTCATGTATATAAGGGGGGCAAATCTTGTTTCCAAACCAATGTGGGACAAAGTCCTACATTTTCCCTTCATTTCCCAACTTAAATGGGTCTACTTTGAGAATCAATATCTCATTCACCCATTATCCGTTTTGAGCGTACAATATATCAATCTCTTCGTCTTACTACGAAGAACCCGAATCCACTTTGACCCGACCCAAATTGGAAGTGGACCCCACTGATAATTTTACCACAAAATAGCCACTTAATATGCCATTTTATGCCATTTTAAGCTAAATTTTCCAACAATCCCCCACATGAATGAAAATTGATTTTCGGGGTAGTTTTAAAACGGAAACAACTGTATTCAACGGTCAATCCCTGCATAGGATAGGTAGGGTCACACCCTTTGAACCTTCCCTCGTGAAGATACATTTACTCTACTAGCTGTACGGTAGAACGTGATGTCTTTGAACCGACTGCCGTTTGTGTAGACGATGACATATCTCACACAGGAACCTCCCAACCATGCTTTGTTCTCATGATTGTGCCCTTTTTGGTCGTGGGTCACCATTCCTGGTTCTGCAAGAGTTTGTGAAGAATTGTGCCCGTCAATTCTCCTTTGAAGCGACCCTCACTTCTCTCTCACATAGGTGATTCTATCCCGAGTATCCCGCATACTCACATATGTCAACCGACATTCGAATCACTAAAGCATTTAACATGCTAACCTTGTGCGGGAGTCACTGTTTCTAACGAGGAGTGGTAGGGGATCCGAGACCTCCACAGTGACACGCTCCGTTCCATAATTTAGTTGTCCCATTGAACCTAGGTGCCAGCTAGGTTGGGTGTCCACTATAGAACTTTATACCAAGGGCTTTAGACCCATTCCTCGTCTCAACTTCTCCACAGCTACTCTACATAACCCTTTGGTTAGCGGATCCGCTATATTGTCTTCTGACTTTACGTAGTCAATCGAGACAACACCAGTTGTGAGAAGTTTTCTAATGGTATTATGTCTACGACGCACATGTCTAGACTTACCATTATACATATGATTCTGTACTCGTCCAATTGCAGCTTGACTATCGCAATGCACACACATTGGAGGTACAGGTCTTTCCCAATTAGGAATATCCTCTAAAAAATGGCGTAGCCATTCAGCCTCTTCACAACATTTGTCCAAGGCTATCAGCTCAGATTCCATCGTGGATCTAGCTATCACGGTCTGTTTAGAGGATTTCCATGCAACGGCTGCACCGGCTAGTGTAAACACGTAGCCACTTGTGGACTTGGAGTCCTTAATATCGGATATCCAACTAGCGTCGCTATAACCTTCAAGTACAGCACGATATCTCCCATAGTGCAGTCCAAGGTCTCGAGTATACCTTAAGTATCTCAGAACCTTCACTATTGCCGTCCAGTGCATGGCACCGGGGTTACTCGTATATCTACTGAGTTTACTAACCGCAAAGGCAATATCCGGCCTAGTACAGCTCATTAGATACATCAAACTACCAATAACCCGAGCATATTCTACTTGAGAAATACACTCTCCGTGCTTCTTGGTTAGATGAATGCTTCGATTTAATGGCGTCCTAGTCCCTTGATGATTATCCTTGATAATTTTTCAAGGATTTTATCAATATAATGTGATTGGCTTAACACCAGACCATCAGGTCTTCTAATGATTCTAATCCCGAGGATTAAATTAGCCAACCCCATATCCTTCATGTCAAATATCGTATTTAACATGTTTTTGGTAGACTTGATCATTCGATCGTTACTACCAACGATGAGCATGTCATCTACGTATAAACAAAGAATGACATAACCGTCTATCGTTTCCTTAACGTAGACACATTTGTCACTTTCGCTTATTTTAAACCCATTAGTTAACATCGCATGGTCAAACTTCTCCTGCCATTGCTTAGGCGCTTGTTTTAAACCATATAGCGATTTAACCAACTTACACACTTTCCTTTCTTGGCCCGGAACCACGAACCCTTCGGGTTGTTCCATATAGATTTCCTCATCTAGTTCGCCATTTAGGAAAGCGGTTTTAACGTCCATTTGATGAACTTCCAAAT